GTATATATTATAGATTCATATTCATCCATTCATTCAAATACCTATGTATATGTATGTATATCATAGATTCATATTCATCCATTCATATATTATAGATTCATATTCATCCATTCATTCATATTCATTCATTCAAATGAAAATGTAAGTTAAAAATTGTTAATAATAATATTACTACACTATTCATACATATGAATATTACATTAAAAATTGCTGCCCTGAAAAGTATGCTAAGTTTTTGCAGCCATTTCTTTATGGCTTCCCTGCTTTACTTTCCCACATCTTTTTATTTATTTGACCTATAGCCGGGAGTGCATTAGGCTATGCAATTTTGTAGACCCCTAAGTCTGAAACTGAAATCCGATTGGCCATGCCGCAGCAGCTTTCTGAGTGCTACTCAGCTCAAAAGAAGCCTCAAGCCAACAGCAATAGAAATTCTCATTTTCTTCTCCTTTTTTGGCTTTAATAATCTTTTGATTGGTTCAAAGTAAACCATAGCCTTATATATCAATTGATAACTTTAAGAACTTAACCAATTTCTTGTTCTGCCCCATTCACTTACATCTGTTCGCGACGCGCCTCCTCGGCTGCGGCTGTATCCTGCATCAGCTCCTCGCCGTTTTTCTCCTCGTCGTCCAGTCCGTTGGAGGACTTGAGTGGAATTTTGTTCATGGCATCGTCGTTGCTGTGGTGCACCATCTTGTGAGCATCCGCTGTGGCTGCTGTTGCTGCTGCGCTGCTGCTGTTGATGCTGATGTTGCTGTTCCCACCAAAAAACGAAATGAACAAGAAAAGAGAGATGCTCTTAAGCTACGATAGTTCAAATGGAATAGAATGCATAGAGTTTGCCTAGATAGCTTTCCATCCAAGTTCTAGCAGTCACATTTAAGAACTCACGATTTGTGACTGCACAGTATTGGATATCTAGCCTCAGCTCATTGAACACTTGAATGGACTTTTAACTATGCTCTGCAGCAGGTATTACGGTAAATGTCAGGCGGCGCACGTTGCGTTGTATGCAACAGTTAATGGCGCAGCTCGTTGATATGCAACAGATTTAACACGCGGCCCAAGGCAAACTGAACGCTGCACAAGCGAGGTGACGTGACGCGCCACGACGCGGCGTCAACAACATCGCCCGCTGCCTGCGTCACTGGCAGCAGCGACGTTGCCGGCAACTTTGATGGCAGGATGCGGTCGTCGTCGTCGTCGTCGTCGTCGTCGTAGTTGCTGCGGTTGCATGTCTCCATGTGGGTGTGTTCCCGACCATTTGCCATTTTCTCCAGCTCGCTGTGTGCGTGCCACACAAATGGGTCAGACAGCGACGCCAACGCCGGCGGCGACGCCAACGCCAACGGCGCCGCTTGCAGCTTACTCGCATGCTGCAGTTTGTTGCGAGTTGTCCATAACTATAATTGAATGTTGTGATTGACAGGCCACAGAGCGAGGGACGAAGCGACGCAAACACAAACGCAGACAGAGGCAGAAGTCGAGGCAGAGGCAGAGGCCGAGGCAGAGGCAGAGACGTTGGCGAGCGTGCACGAGATTGTTGGCTTGTAAATTGGGTTAATTGCCGCCGTATTTGATGTGTGGCACGGGCATCAAATCGGTGGCACTCACAGTCAGCGCCTTTGCCCTCACATGACCCGGACAACAATGTTATTATTGACATCTGCACTCAGTGGGCGTGGCACGACAAGCACGACAACAACAACATTGTGGTACCCGTTGGGTATATGGGGCTTATGTGAAGCGAATGCTGTTAACACTTAACATGCGCTGTTAAAGTAAATGTTAGCAGCAGAAACTCTGAGAATTGATAGATTTTTAATAGATTTTGATTTAAATCAATGAAAATTTATGTGAGGCAGGTACTCCAGAAACACCTTTTGTGATCTTACTTTCTATTAGTTCTGCCCATTTTTGTTGTTGTTGTATATACCTCTAGAACTTGTCAGGATTTATTCCCAGCACTAAAAACATTTTCTATCAATATCTAAAGTTTCTAGCTCTAAGTTCTATAATTTAATTATTTTATTTTTTTCACAATCAACTCTCTCGATCAACTTCTCGAACCACCCTCGATTATAAATATACCTATTAGGAATACAATGAAAAGTGCAATCGATGCGCTTAAATTTAATGCAATGCATCAATCAACGCGCTTACCGAGAGCATGCCATATATCATACATCGTAAGCCATATATCATATGTCATACATATACATATGTATAACTCATGCATGCAATATAAATATATATACATATATTTGTTGTAATTGTTTTTAAGTAATCTTTAGTGGGTCGCTAGCAATTTGTGCTGTTGGCCTATTCTGGCCTGGCTATTTGGCTATTTTTAGGTCAACTGCATTTTAATTTCATTTCATTTTTGTTAAATAGCTGCCTGGGCCCCGTCAGCAGCAGCAACAGCTGCAACAAAAGAACCACAACAGCAACAGCAACAGCAGCAGCAGCAGCAGCAGCAGCAGAGGCAACAACAACAAACATGAAAGAAGCGTAGCACACGCCACAATTACCGAGCATTACTTTGAGGCATGTGGATTGCAATTTGGGTTTACGACTCCGTCGCCGCCTCCGTGCAGCCATAAAAAATGAGTGAGCGACCACACCAAAGACCCATAAGAGATTGCACGGGCCGAGCCTGAGGCAGTGCCTGAAGGAGGTGAAGTGGGAGAGAAACTCTGAGAGGCAATTAGACAATTAGACAGAAGGAGAAGAAGGAGAAGGAGAAGGAGAAGGAGAAGGAGAAAGAGAAGGAGAAGGAGAAGGAGAAGGAGAAGGAGAAGGAGAAGGAGAAGGAGAAGGAGAAGG